CGCTCCTTCCACGGCCCGCACACCACCTGCCTGCATGCAGCCTGCGGGCCCGTGCGCGCCTCCCACCTGGCCCGTACCAAGTACAACAATTTCGACGTGTACATCAAGACGCGCTGGCTGTACGGCTTCATCCACTTCCTGCTCTACTTCAGCTGCAGCCTGTTCACCGCGGCGCTCTGGGGTGCTCTGGCCGCCCTCTTCTGCCTACAGTACCTGGGCGTTCGCGTCCTGCTGCGCTTCCAGCGCAAACTGTCGGTGTTGCTGCTGTTGCTGGGCCGCCGGCGCGTGGACTTCCGCCTGGTGAACGAGCTGCTTATCTACAGTATCCATGTCACCATGCCGCTGGTCGGGCTCGTGCTTCATGGTCTTCGTGGACATGTGAGGGCCGTGGGTGTGAGCTTGATGTATCGTCCCGGCCTGTGGCTGTGTTCTTTACATGGGTGGGACTGCCCATGCCGCAGGCAGTCGCTGCTGCCTGGCGCCCACGGAGAGAAAAGAAAGGGCTGAGACTTCTGTGATGGGGGTGCGGATGCCGCCCCTAGGCTGGCTTCCTGCGTCCACCCTCCCCATGTGCACTCTCAGGGGCAGCGCCCACCTGCGGGTGGCTCCTGTTCACACGACTTCAGGTCATACTGCGGAGTGGGCCGTCTGTTCTGCCTCTCTGTGGGCTTCTCTCCAGGACCACAGCTGCCAGGGACTTTAGACGTCACCCTGGGAGGCCTCTGGACACAGAGGGCTGTGTGCCCAGGAACAAATCCGGAGGGGGGGCCATCCTGGCTGCACAGTCCCTTCCTGCGTTCCCTGGTCTCAGGCCCAGCCAACGGGACACGGAAGGCTCTCCTCGCTGACACACCACACTGCCACAAAGCTGCTTACTCTGCCCTGGGCCGCCTGAGTCCTGGCACTGCCCGCGTACCTCCCTCTGTCACCCTGAGGGGCTGTGTGGGTCCTGAGTCCCCAGCCAGCCTTCAGGGTCTCCTTGGATTGTGTAGATGCAGTCTAGCAGGGGGGCGGGGAGGGGCTCAGGTGGGAGGGGCCTCAGCAGGCTCTCAGCTCAGGGGCTGGCCTGGGGGAACCCTGGGAGCCAAGGGCTGACTCCAGCAACACTGGCCTGTCTGCCTGTTCTGGGAGGGCTGTGAGGATGTCCTCAGATACTGTGGATTTCTGGGGAGGCACTTCCATTCCTTTCTGGGTTTTTTTGCAGAGGAGGGCTTTGGGCCTCTGTCTTTGGGGGAACATCCTCAAAGAAAGCGTGGGAGATCGAGGGTGCAGTGAGCTGGGATGGAGACTTGCATGTCCCGAGTGTCCACAGCAGGCGGCAGAGGCCTCAGTGTGGCAACCACAGCCCCGGAGCCTGTGTGGTACAAGCAGCATCTTAGAGCCCCGGGAATATGCTGAGATCCTATCCCACGCTGCCCTCCAGTGACTGGGGGGCCCAAATGATGGCACAGAGGCAGGTGGGCTGGAGGGGCACAGATGCCTGTGTTCAGGGAGGGCGGCCACCATGGGCCGGGGTCTCACCCAGGACCCCGTGCTCTGCTCCTCGGCCTTGCAGTCGCGGTAGCACTATGGTGGACTGCCCATGGCTGTGTGGCTTTGGGGGCAAGTTGGAGGGTGCCCTGAATAATGATTACAGGGACAACAGGCAGAGCTGCCCTAAAGCAGGACACAGGGTGTGGTACTGACAACCCTAGCGTCACCCCAAATCCACGTCCCCACACTCCGGGCATGGGTGGGACTTGTGACCCTGCCCTGTCAGGTGGACCAGTGGCCCAGGAGCCAGGAGGACAGTTGTGTGCCACTGGAAGAGAAACTTTTTGAAAAACCCTAAATCAGGTAGAGAAAGCAAAAAAATCTTTGGCCGTAAACCGTGCTAATTTGTTGGCAGCTTCTGTGGATGACCTCCGTTGAGCCCGGGCTCTGTCCAGGCCCTGGGCAGGCGGGCAGGAGTTTTCCTGCGTGGGCCTCATTTCTTGCTGCAGAGAATCTTTTGCACTAAGTCACGCTGTTTCCTCAAAGAAGCTTTGTTTTTTGTTAACGTGTTACTCAGAGTCACCCAGGCCCCTCGGCTGAGGGTGAAGGTGGGGCGGGAGGCAGGAGGGGGCTGGCAGTGCCGCTTGTGTGGTGTCAACGCTGCAGGGAGTCGGGGCACCTTGGTGCCCTCTGAGCACCTGGCCGCCTGCTGTCCCCAGTGCCTGTGAAATTCGTCATGAGATGACCTACCTGCATTAAACCTATTTTTTTAATGTGTTGATGGAGTGATTGCTTAAAGCTCAGTTGTTTTATTCCTTTTTGAAGGACGTAATAATCACCCAGAGCACCATAGAAACCATGTTCTCGGCCGGGCGCGGCGGCTCACGCCTGTAATCCCAGCACTTTGGGAGGCCGAGGCGGGCGGATCACAAGGTCAGGAGACCGAGACCACGGTGAAACCCCATCTCTACTAAAAATAAAAAAATTAGCCGGGCGCGGTGGCGGGCACCTGTAGTCCCAGCTACTCAGGAGGCTGAGGCAGGAGAATGGCGTGAACCCGGGAGGCGGAGCTTG